ACTGAAGCTATCTACATATTTTAATTTGATTTGGTCAAATTGATATTATGAAATGGGGAATTGCCAACTTCATGAGAGGATGTATATGCAGTGTTGGAGGCAGATCTTTTTTTCATAATTAAACTGTCTTATTTTCTTGTAGGGTGAATATAGAAAAAAAATTTCAGATAACCAAAGATGTCAGACTTAAAACTTTTAAGAGCTTGAGTCTAAGAGTTTGCTCCAGTGATAAATTCCTCATCCTAAAAATATAGACAAAAAGGGTTACAATTAAAATACTGCATAGTATTCAAATCAATACAAGATAAACAAAACAAGATCAATATTTTTTAGATGAATCAAAATGATTTATTATGATAAGGAGTACAAGGGGTTCTCCACCCATAATCTCAAGTATACATTACAAAAGAAACATCTATGAAGATATTTCAACAATAGTAAGGAGGGCCTATCGTATGGATGACAAGTCTAAATTTTAGTAATTTCTTAAACACATAAATTAAGAGAATTACACCAGTAAAAGAAGGGAAAAACAAGATCAATATTAATTCAAAAAGATCTTAAAAACACTCAATGAATAGATCTACCATGAGAAATAGCTAGCTAGTATCATAAAAATTCAAAACCATTCATATGTATGTCCAAAAGAGTTCACTATTTCCTTTTCATGTACAGAACTTATAAATTGAGAAATTTACTTTCGAATTATACTTGTGGAAATATGATTTTATATAAAAAATAGAAAATTTTGCATTTAGATCAACTTTTAACTTTTATAAGATAGGCCAATAATTAAGGCTGCATTTGATATTAATTTCAATCAAATAAAATTGATAATAAAAGTGTAGTTGTACCATCATCACCAGCGTTCAAATTGGTCAAGAGTTATTGTCACCAATATGATATCTAGTTTACTCCAATGTCTTGGCAAAACTGCATCAAATACAATTCCAGATATGAATGTTGAATTCATTTAAAATTATTGACTTTTGAACTAATACCTCAAAATCTAAAACCACTATGTGTTCTGATGCAATCTTTAGTATATTATTATTTATATATAATGAGCATATTCATGATATTAGTCTATGATTGTGTTTGGTTAATCATGACATGAGTGTTGAAGGCCAAAAAAGAATACATAAGATAATTGTGTACTTCATATGGTAGATAGATCATACTCTCATATTTTTTTGATGAAGAGATCATACTATCATAGAATCAACTAAAATATGAAGTACTA